AATTTAAAATAGGGGAATGTTTTAGTTATCTATTGCTGTCTAAAAACCATCCAAATGTAATGGCTTATGCAGCAATCATTTCTTTTTTCCCAAAAATCTGCTAAAAAATCTGTGGAATTGGTGAGGAATCCTGTAATCTATATAGAGGTGACTTGAAGGCTAGGGTTGACTTGATTGTTGGGAGCTGGCATTATCTGAGGGCTCATTTACTCATGTGTGGCATTGATGCTGGCTGCTGACTAGGACTTCAGCTAGGGTTGTAGGCTAAAACACCCATACCTGTCTTCTCCATATGGCTGCTTAACTTCCTCACAGTATAGTAGCTGGGCTCCAAGTGCAAGCATGCCAAGAGAGCAAGGCAGACTTGCCTGATGTTTTAACAATCTACCCTTGGAAATCACATAGCATTCTGCTATGTTCTCTTTGTCCAGGCAGTCATGGAGGTCTGCCCAGGCTCAAGGGGAGAGGAGAAAGATCTTACCTCTTCATGAGAGAAATGCCAATGATACTTTATAAGAAGAGCATGCAGGTTGAGAAATATTGTGATAGCCATTTTTAGAAGATAGAATTGGCTCTTATCTGCCTTAGAAGGTTTGTATCGTCTGTATGAAAAGACCTATGAAACATCACTTAGAGGGAGTTTGGGGCATAGTTTGATTGTCAACTTTATATTGAAAGTCCAATGTCTATTCAAAATTTATTTTCAAAATGCTTATCTTTAAGGGTCTTATTTAATATCTCTTAGGTAGTGGCTCAAAGGATCTCATCCATGGATAAAGCAGTGTACCTCTGGATATCAGCATCCTTAAAGGGATAGTTTTTGCCCTTGTAAATGTTATGAGATATAGGTCCTTCTTATGCCATATGGATCTTTAGTCTGTAGGGTCAAACTATAGCAGAAAAAAATTCGCTTCTGTAAAAATTTTTCTTGGATACTGATCGGCTTCATTGATGTTTGGAATCATGTATTAAGATGTATCTTGGCATTCTTTAGAAAAATAGCAGGTTTGGCCAAGGTGAGCCAACACCTGTTAAAGTTTAGTATGAAAAAACAAAGGTGACTAATGCTAAATGTTAAATGTGTGTGAGTTTCAAACTTTAAGCCGAAAAGATAAAATACTGAGCATCAGTGAAGTGGTTCTGAACTGGTGATGGAGTTGTGTTAAATCATCAATATCATGTAACTTAATTCTTTCTAGGAAAAAAGGCACTTATATGACAGATGGTTACTGTTGCAGAGTTTAATCTACTGTAGTCTTTTTTAAATAAGATACAATTGACATAACATTATATTAGTTCTAAGTATGCTATATAATGATTTGATATTTGTTTATATTGTAAAACATAACAAATATAATTATAAAATATTCTTCCAATACAAGAAATTGATATATCTTTCCATCTGTTTGTGTCTTCTTTATTTCATCAGCATCTTATAGTTTTTGGAGCACAGTTCTTTTGCCTTCTTCAGCTCAGTACAGTTCAGTTGCTCAGTCATGTCCAACTCTTTGCGATCCAGTGGACTGCAGCACGCCAGGCCTCCCTGTCCATCACCAACTCCCGGAGCCTACTCAAACTCATGTCCATTGAATCAGTGATGCCATCTAACCATCTCATCCTGTCGTCCCCTTCGCCTCCCGCCTTCAATCTTTCCCAGCATCAGGGTCTTTTCAAATGAGTCAGCTCTTCACATCAGGTGGCCAAAGTATTCGAATTTCAGCTTCAGCATCAGTCCTTCCAATGAACATTCAGGACTGATTTCCTTTAGGATGGACTAGTTGGATGTCCTTGCAGTCCAAGGGACTCTCAGCAGTCTTCTCCAACACCACAGTTCAAAAGCATCAATTCTTCAGTGCTCAGCTTTCTTTATAGTCCAACTCTCACATCCATACATGACTACTGGAAAAACCATAGCCTTGACTAGACGGATCTTTGTTGACAAAGCAATGTCTCTGCTTTTATAATAAGCTGTCTAGGTTGGTCATAACTCTTCTTCCAAGGAGAAAAAGTAAGTGTCTTTCAATTTTATGGCTGCAGTCACCATCTGCAGTGATTTTGGAGCCCCCCAAAATAAAGTCTGTCACTGTTTCCACTGTATCCCCATCTATTTGCCATGAAGTGATGGGACCGGGTGCCATGATCTTAGTTTTTTGAATGTTAGTTTTAAGCCAACTTTTCACTCTCCTCTTTCACTTTCACCAAGAGGCTCTTTAGTTCTTCTTCACTTTCTGCCGTTAAGGGTGGTGTCATCTGTATATCTGAGGTTATTTATATTTCTCACAGCAATCTTGATTCTAGCTTGTGTTTCATCCAGCCCAGTGTTTCTCATGATGTACTTTGCATATAAGTTAAATAAGCACGGTGACAATATACAACCTTGATGGACTCCTTTCCCGATTTGGAACCAGTCTGTTGTTCCATGTCCAGTTCTAACTGTTGTTTCCTGACCTGCATACAGGTTTCTTAAGAGGCAGGTTAGGTGGTCTGGTATCCCCATCTCTTTAAGAATTTTTCATAGTTTCTGGTGATCCACACAGTCAAAGGCTTTGGCATAGTCAATAAAGCAAAAATAGGTGCTTTTCTGGAACTCTCTTGCATTTTCGATGATCCAGTGGATGTTAGCAATTGATGTCTGCCTTTTCTAAAACCAGCTTGAACATCTGGAAGTTCACGGTTCACATACTGTTGAAGTCTGGCTTGGAGAATTTTGAGCATTACTTTACTACCGTGTGAGATGAGAGCAATTGTGTGGTAGTCTGAGCATTCTTTGGCATTGTCTTTATCCACTATCAAAACACAGGCATCTAAGTGACAAAAACCACCATACATTTGAATATTTTAATCAAATAACACTGACTGTAGTGATGGCAGAAATTGTTTTTTAAAGGAAAATTAAACATGTAAAATAAGAAAACCAGGTTGGAAGTCTTAGGTTAAAATTATAGTGCAAGTACGTGTTGGCTGTTTGATCTTGGGTTTAAGTCACTTTGTGCTGGCCACCATGATGGGCACTGGGAGCGCATAGATGAAAAAGACACAATCTTTTCTCTGGAAAATTTTACTTAATTTTGAATCACCAAAAATATGAGACAAATAACTTCCTCCACTTACTAACATTGATGGATTAAGGTATGTGTACTTTCATTTAAGAATTTCACAATATTCCATATATATGCGTTAGTATACTGTATTGGTGTTTATCTTTCTGGCTTACTTCACTCCGTATAATCATTTTATGATAAAATCACTATGGTCTCACATACTTTTGAAAAACACAGTTTATTCAAGAATATGAACAATGTAATGGATATATTTGGTTACTTAATAATAATCATTTTAAGTATACAGATACACATCATCAACATTTAGTGTTTTTCAGAGGCAATGATTTAGATTCTGTTTTTATTGTTGTTTCTATAGTTAAATTATTGACAAAGTAATGAAACAAAGATATATTGTTCTATAAGATTTTGCCCTCATATAGTAATTCTCAGTCTCTTTTACGTTACACCAGCAGTTATAATCAATATATCTCAACAACTTAAAAAGCCTACACTTTCAGAAAAAGTCTTATTTTGTAAGTATTTTGTCATTATGTTTATCATTTATTGTCAGTGTTACACCTATGAAAAATTACAGTAGGAATTGCTAAGGTTTTAAAATAAGCAAAACTTATTTAGTAGTTGAGAAATGTTGTTATATGATTGACTATAAGCTTTAGTACCTTAGTAACAATAAAACACAAAGATGTTTAATGAAAAATATTGCCACCGATAGGTTTATGTAAAATTCTACAGCATCAGGTAGAAAAAGCAGAATAAATATATTGGCATGAGAGATCAGGTGATACAGAAGTGAAGTCAGGGAGTACAAAAGGACACCGTTGGTCAAAAGAAATGAGGAAGGAACAAGTCACATGAATATTCCATAGTAAGCAGGGTCATTGGGAAATCAGACGATAAAAGGACTTGTGCATGTGAGAAGAAAGGATTAGAAAAAATTTTGTTTAAGGTGATGAATATATCAAAAGTCATAGGTTCATGAAAGTCAGGGTCAGAAGAACATATGAGGGATAGCCAGTTATTGAAATTGTAATATTAATCCTATGTCCCATATAAGCGCTAGTAGGTTAGAGGACTTCTGGCCCCTCCATAGTACTTGCAGTCCATGGTACTTGGATGCCTGAACATATGTTGTGGCTCAATGCATCAAAAAGTAATTCTAGTCTGTTAGATATTCCTAATAATTTCAGTTTTATGTCTGAAATAAAATTTATTTTACTTTCTAATGTAAGAATGCCTTGTTTAAAGTTAACACAATCTATAAAAATCAAAATTTTAAAAATGAGAGATGGAATTATTCACTTTTAAATACTAGGTTTAATTTTCTTAATTTTAAAATTATTCTTGCCTTTTCACATATTCATATTACCTGCTTAGCCATTTAGGCATCTGAAGTTTTGAGTATTTATAAATAATCTTGATGTTTTATTCTGGTTGTGAAACGGTCAATCTGTGTAGCTTCCAGTTGTCTTTTTATTAGTGCCTCTAAGTGTTTGAGGCTATTATTTAGAACCATGGAAAATGATGTCCCTATGTAGCTCTTTAAAATTGGTCTTTGTCTAAAGCAAGACTAGGGATAAGGCCCTTTGCTTCTCCCCAGAGGTCTCACTCTAAATACTAAGTTCTTTCTGGATTGAAAGTAGGAAAAAAGTAAAGGTCAGGTGTATACTTCAGAATGTTGGCAAGTCTCTTTACCAGTATGCTATTAAATATTCCAATATTTGTATTGAATATGCAGTAGAATATACAGAGAGATATATGGAGGGAAATTAAAAACAGAACTGAAGGGTTACAAAATATTTTTTGTACATAATAAGGAAAACATTCCACACCATACTAAACATTTCATTTGCCTTCGTGTTATCTGTCTCTTTATATCTCATATTTTCTCCAGTGGTAGCTATTTGGGCTACTCAACCCAAGATCTGCAGCTTTCCATCACATTAAGTTTGAGAGCTTAAATGTGATATTCTGTGTATTTGAATCCTCGGGGTGTTCCCCTCTTTTAATTAGAGCTAGGTGGTTATCCTTTACTCCTAGAAACACTCCAGGATTGCTCTTACATTCAAATGAAACACACTGGGAGGACGTCTCATGAAGGACAAAGAAGGCTTGTTCTGGTAACTGGTTTTCACATTTTTGTAGCTGAGGAAAACAAGAGAGAAAGTAACCAATATGTGAGTGGGAAGTTCAGAGTCAACTTTACATCCCTGTGTTGGAAACTAAAAGAGAATAATTATTCATAACTTGATATTTCTAGCAAGCCTGCTTACTGGATAGGGGATAGAAAGTGGGGAGGAAGTGAGCAGAGGGCCCAAGTAGGGGAATTTGATTTGATTCACTGGTAGTATATTTTGAGAGACATAATGGCTTAGAATGAGTGGATCTTGATGCAGTAGTTCTGGATTCATACTTCTTTTTTTGCCATATGGTATCTCTGAGAACTAGACACTTTGCTTTACATTTCAAGTCTCAAGTTTTTATTGCAGCCAGTTTTCTAGTTCAACCCCTAACTTACCCATAGATATGTGAGTGATATAAATGAGTATTATTTTAAGTTATTAAGTGGTTCGTTACACAGTGTACATTATACAATGACTTCATGAGAGAGTTACTGTGAGAATTAAATAAGACAGTATTTAACCTTTAGCACACAACTTGGTATATATATTAAAGCTCATTAGGTAGGAGTCAGCTTATATTGTTGAGTAGTTATATATATGCCAAACACTGTTATGTAAACTTAGAAATGTTTTGTTAAGGGAGATGCATCCAGAGTTTACATTAGTACCTTGCATGGCTATACTGCTGTTGTTGTTCAGTCACCAAGTTGTGTCCAACTTTCTGTGATTTCATGAACTGCAGCACGCCAGGCTTCCCTGTCCTTCACTATCTCCCTGAGTTTGCTCAGACTCACATCCACTGAATCAGTGATACCATCCATTTTATTCTCTGTTGTCCCCTTCTTCTCTTGCTCTCAATCTTTTCCAGCATCAGGGTCTTTCCCAGGGTATTGGCTCTTCAAATCAGATGACCAAAGTATTAGAACTTAAGCTTCACCATCAATCCTTCCAATGAATATTCAGAGTTGATATCCTTTAGGATTGACTGATTTGATCTCCTTGCTGTTCAAGGAAGTCTCAAGAGTCTTCTCCAGCACCACGTTTTGAAAGTATCAATTCTTTGGTGCTCAGTCTTCTTTATGGTCCAACTCTCCCAGCTGTACATGACTAATGGAAAGGCCTTAGCTTTGGCTATATGGACCCTTGTAGGCAAAGTGATGGCTCTGTTTTTTTAACAGACTATCTGGATTTGTCATAGCTTTTCTTCCAAGGCAATAATGTCTTTTAATTTCATGGCTGCAGTCACCATCTACAGTGATTTTGGAGCCCAAGAAGATAAGTCTGTCACTGTTTTCATTTTATCCCCATCTATTTGCCATAAAGTCATGGGACCAATACCATGATCTTAGTTTTTTTTGAATGTTAAGTTTTAAGCCAGCTCTTTCACTCTTCTCTTTAACCTTCCTCAAGAGGCTCTTTAGTTCCTCTTTGCTTTCTGCCATTAGGGTGGTATCATCTGCATGTCTGAGGTTATTGATATTCCTCCTGGCAATCTTGATTCCATCTTGTGCTTCATCCAGCCCAGAATTTCACATGATGTACTCTGCATATAAGTTAAATAAGCAGGGTGACAATATACAGCCTTGATGTACTCCTTTCCTTAGTTTGAACCAGTCTGTTGTTCCATGGCTGGTTCTAACTGTTGCTTCTTGACCTGCATACAGGTTTCTCAGGAGGCAGGTAAGGTGATCTGGTATTCCCATCTCTTTAAGAATACTCCACAGTTTGTTGTGACCCACAGAGTCAAAGGCTTTAGCCTAGTCAATGAAGGCAAAAGATGATATTCTCCTGGCATCCCCTTGCTTTTTCTGTGATCTAACAGATCTTGGCCATTTGATCTCTGATTCCTCTGCCTTTTCTAAATTCAGCTTGTACATCTTCAAGCTCTCAGTTCACATATTGTTGAAGCCTAGCTTGAAGGATTTTGAGCATTACCTTGCTAGCATGTGAAACAAGCACAATTGTGCAATAGTTTGAATATTCTTTGGCAGGGCCCTTCTTTGGGATTAATGAAAACTGACCTTTTCCAGTCCTGTGGCCCCTGCTGAGTTTTCCGAATTTGCTGGCATATTGAGTGCAGCACTTTAGTGGCATCATCTTTTAGGATTTTAAATAGCTCTGCTGGAATTCCATCACCTCCACTGGCTTTGTTTGTAGTGATGCTTCCTAAGGCCTGCTTGACTTCATACTCCAGGATGTCTGGCTCCAGGTGAGTGATCATGCCATTGTGGTTATCTAGGTCACTAAGCCCTTTTTTGGTGCAGTTCTTCTATGTATTCTTGCCGCCTCTTCTTAGTATCTTCTGCTTCTGTTAGGCCCATACCTTTTCTGTCCTTTATTGTGTCCATCTTTGCATGAAATGTTCCCTTGGTATCTCCAATTTTCTTGAAGAGATTTCTAGTCTTTTCCATTCTATTGCTTTCCTCTGTTTCTTTTGATTGTTCACTTATCATGACCAATATAACAGTTCTATTTACTAACTGAGGAAGACAGTGCAGTGAATCCTATGATTAGAATGTAGGTTGTTATGCTATCTCTATATCTTGGCATATGGAAATGTTTATGAGCCCACCCCTTTAGCAGTTTCAGACTATAAAATTACTTTTCAGTTGCCCAAGATAATGATATTTTACAAGGAAATACTGCCTGGAAGAAAACAGTATTTCCTACAACCAAATAGAAAGGATTTTATATCATTCTATTCAGCAGTGCTTCTCAAACTTTAATGAGTCTATGTACCTATGAGTACGTATGTACCCAGGAGTACCTATGAGTCTCCTGGAGATTTGTTAAAATGCTCATTTTGATTCAGTTGTGAGGGAGTCTGAAAGTCTACATTTCCAACAAGCTCCCAGGTAATGCTGCACTGCTGGCAGAGACCAGACTTTCAGTAGGAATTTTACTCCCAATTTTACTGCCAATTTTACTCCCTTCCCTATTTCAGAAACAAGGTATTAATTGTAACTGATTTTGTTTTATCTACAATATTACAAACAAAACTTCTTCAAAGTACCCAAAACCCCCAAATCTGCACAGATGAGTAGAGTCAATCATGACAGTTAGGTGTCTGTTTCTGTTACCTCCACAGAGTGCTCCTTACTGTTTGCATGCAGCAAGAAGTCTTTGTCTTTTGTGGGGCTCAGGTTTACCATTAACTTCCGATGATTACCACCACCATCTTGCAATTAAAAAACACAAATTATAAAGTTAAGAATTGTAACTCATTTTAATTTAAATGAATTTAACACCCAGGAAAAGAGTCCAAGATGTAAAATGACTACTTCATTCACCAACACATCTATTAGAAATATTTGTACCCAGATAAAACTAAAGAGTCATTGGACAGTAAGGTGTAATTCTAAGTCCCCTTAGGAGAGAGGTTAGTTTTCTTATATGCTTTATAATAGTAGAATTGAGACTCTAATGGGTATTGCTCTCAGTGTCAGCTTCCCTGTCTGCATGGAAAGCCACTGATAGTTGTCTCCCAATATCTAACTCCTCTTTTGTGTAATAATAGAATGTTTCCAAGCCTGTCTTATGTAGCAATATGTCTTAGTTCTGACCAACATAAGGTGAATGTAAGTGTCAGGTACAACTTCCAGGTTGTGTTCTTAAAGGAAATGAAACTCATAGTTTGTCTTCCTTTGTCCTTCTGATAAGATATTTCATGGTGGCAAGGAATCTTGAATCATGTAGATGCTACAGAGCCACAAAGATGAAAGGAGCTCAGTCCCTGGGCAACCTGTTGAACTGCCATTATGCCCTAGCTAAAACAGAAATAAAATTTTGTGTAACTTAAGACACTTATTCTGAATCTCTGTTAAATGCAGCCAATTAATCCTAATTATTAAACTGCAAAATGGATGAGATGGAATAAGTCCTTTTAAAATCTAAAATCCAATATTTTTACCATGAATTGGGTAAGAGAGAACCTTCTGAGACACCTTCCTTTCCCATGGAACCTGTTTGGATTTGTCTTTACCTTAAATTTAAGAATTCAAGCCAAGCCCAGAGCTACCCAGCCTCCCAAATTACCTGTTTCACTTGAGGGGAATTGAGAATCATAGTAACGGAGTAACACCTTGTCTGAAAGAGAATGCATAAAATCCCTTTAGTGAGATACAATTTTATCAAATGATTTCAGTTTCAACATATATATATATATATAAAACATCAGAAAACATCCTCTTATTATGTATCAATAAAAGCAAAACTTTTGTGGCTTTGAGAACGGTCTTAAAAATGTATAAATGTGCTCTGAGGATTTCTCCAGCAATGTTGGTATTAAAATATTTAAAATGTTGTTCATAGCATTGGTATACTCTTTTGCTAGAATTATACTCTAGTGGTATTGATAAAACTGGAAATACCTAGTAGATATTAATAATTTAATGACAGGAAATATGTGTGGTACTTCCTTCCGTATTTCACAACAGATACGACTTCTCAGTATCATCATTCTTCCTTGATGAACCCTGAATAAGCTTCTGAATCTTCCCCAATACAGTGATATTCAAGCATCTATTGCCAGTGTTTTGGAGTTAGCACATAGCATGAAATCTATTAGCCATATCTGAGTTAATCTATTGTTTACAGTTTGTTAAATTTATTAATTTTTATTTTGCTAGTCATCATTATATCATGATAGACAAAAGGAAATAATCTACCTTTCTCTTGGTCTTTCATCAAGTCATCAACATAGATCTCATAGCTTCCATCCTCAAAAACAAAAGTAATGAACTGATCGTTGTATGTACTCAGGGAAGCAGAATGTTCTGTAACAAGTAAAAATCTTGTCATTAAGAATTTAAAAACTTGTTTCCATGAAAAATTTTTTTGAAATTAAGAAACCTTCTAAATGTGTTGTGTTTTTTTTGGTTTGTCTTTGCAATTTGAGCTGTACTTTGTCTATCACCGTTGCATAGATGAAAGTCTCAGGCACAAACTTAACATAGCTCAAAGTCTGAACTACGTTATGGGATGATAAGATGCTAACCTCCTGCATGAAGGAAGTCAAAGATGCTAGCCTACTGTGTGAAGGCCATGGGAGGCCATATTAGTGTGCTTAGGGGAAGGTTTGATGGGGAGAAAGAAACTGGAAAAGTGATAAACATTGCCTGAAGAAAACTCTGCTTCTCAATTTCACATGATTTAGGGAACTGTGGGCAACAGGGGACTGTATTTTGATAGACATGGATAAGTGAATACCCATCTGTAAAGATGGAGTTACTTGGAGACTTTCAGCAGTCCTGGAGGATGCAAGTGTGAGCCTCGTTTTGTCTTCTGGCTAAAAAACTGCAACACTTAAATCTGTACTCTTAATTTTTTTAATATATCAGCACACACAGAAAATGATATTTCTGCAGCATGCTGGGGTAAACTGGATCAGATTTAGAGACTACATATATAGGCCTTAGAGGAAAAAAAATCATTATATTTTATTTATAGTGTAGAATTATGCTAAAGAAAATAATATATAAAACATTAGTAACTTTAAATATTGAATTTATTTGCATGTGTGTGATATAATTCAAAACAATCAACAATTATTTAAAATTTTTGAGTTGAAATTGTATTTGAAAATATAATAGCTCTTCCTTTTCTTTCATTGTCAAAATGTTGAAATTTGGAGAGATAATGTGTTTTTTTTTTTCCCCAAAAGGATAATACATTTTTCTCAGGAATTATGTAGATGAAATTCCAATCCATAGCAAGCATTTCAAAATAATAATATAGTTCTGACTATAGAATGCACAAGTACTGTTAGAGCAGATACCCTGTACAACTTTGGATACCACTTAAAAAGGACAGAAGTTTCTGATATACATGAAATTGTAGAGTTGGGGCTGCTTCTTGGACCAGCACTTGCGAGGGTCCCATGTCCTACCTCCCTTCTCACCCTCACACACTCCTGTGACCAATCTTACCTTTGATACTTGGATGGCCAGTTGGTGTAGTGTATTTCTGGACCCCTGTTTTACCCAAGGTGAAGTCCTGGTTCACAGACCGTCCAAAGTGTTTCAGCTGCTCATAGGTAGCTAATGCCAGATGCTCTTCGTGCTTCTCAGCTGCAGGACAGGGGTGGGGATAGGAGTGGACTGTCAGTCTGCACTCAGTGCAGACCCCTTCCCATCACCCCTTTGAGGACTTCCAGGCAAGGCTACTTGCTCACAGTCATGACTGACCCCAGGGCTTTGGTCATGCTATGGTCTGAAAGAATCAATACTTTCTACATACTTATATTCCAATAGGGCACACTCACTGGAGTCCAGGAAGAATAAAACTAGTCACTCATGGTCTCAACACCCAAAAGGCAACCACTATTAACATTTTAATTTACTTTAATTAAATGAGAGAAAAAACATTTAAAAATATTATAAAATATATTTATAATTTTGTATCCTCTGTTTTTACTTAACATGATATAACCATTTCTTCCACACAAAAAACTTTACATGCCCTTCTGAAAATGACTAAAAAATAGTTCCTCATCCTTACTCTTTTCCAGAAGGAATTTGGATGAGGAAAGAAATTATGTTATCTTGATGTGATAACTGAAGGCAAATCAATGCCCATCATTATGTTGAAAAAGTATCAGGAAATGCATAGTTTCTCCTTACCTGTTGATGAATGCCTTCTGGTGATTTCTTTCCTAAAGTAACAGACCTTTTTTTCTATTTTAAGGCCAGAGCGTAGCTGCATGTAGTACATCTGACAGACTTCTTCGGCCTTCTGTTGGGATTCTAAGTAATTGAAAAAATCGTGATACCATTTCATTCTGTCCTTCTTTATCCTTTTACAAACCCTGAGTGTAGCAGATCAAGAAAGCAACCACAGTCCACAGTATCTTATCACAAACCTTGGGGCCAGTTGTTCAAAATTCAGTTTTTTTAGATTTTAAGATTGTTATGTAGAGCACATATTGTCTATAACTAGCATATCCAGCAGGGGCTAGGGAAACACACCCAACAGGGACTAGGTGAGCACCCCATAATAAAAAATTAATAACTTTATTTTATAGTGAAGCACAGGAAAATTTACATCTAGTGAAATAAATAAAGACTTCATGTTGGTTTAGGTCAGGATTTAACTGTTGAATGAGTTCAGGCCATATTTTGCTGTCAAATGAGTTAATGAAAAGCTTTGGTCTTTAGAAAAAATTTTGGTTTAAGAATTGGCATAAGAGAGTGTGGCTCTACATCCAACATATATCAATCTTTGCCTTGCTGGCAGGGAGCTCTTTGGTTATATGAAATCTATAATCCTTTCTACTTATCTAGAATCTACTTTTAATAATTTAGAGAGATGGCTATAGTCTGTAAAGGTTATTAAGAATAGCTGACCCAGGTCAGGGAGCTTTTTGACTGTGTTTTCTTCTAGGAGTTTCATGGTTTCAGGTCTTATGTTTAAGTCTTTAATTCATTGTGAGTTAATTTTTGTGAGTGGTGTAGATAGGGGTTGTTTCATTCTTTTACAAGTTATAATCCAGTTTCCCAGCACCATTTATTGAAGAGACTGTTTTTTATTCCATTGAGTATTCTTGGCTTCCTTGTCAAATATTAGTGTGTCTACAGTGGGCCAAGCACTGTGCGTAATTTTCATTTAAACCTTCACAAATAATATTACAAGGTAGGTATTATTCATTTCATTTTACAAATGATGATTTGAAGTTCTTAACAGTCATGACACTTGCCAAAGATCTGATGAGAAGTTGTGACTCAAGTGTTTCTAATATCAAAGCTATATTTCCATCTATTCCATCTACGAAAATGTTATATTTCAATTTTAGAGACTAACAAAACACAAACTGAAATTAAATCAGTTGAAGTAAAAAAAAATCAGTTATTCATAATTCTTATTTATCCAAATAAAAATTAAAATTTTGAATAAAAATTAAATTTGCCACTTGAAAATCATGAAAAAAAAGCCTTTAAAAGTCAAATAGAAAAGAAAGTTATAATACTTAGGTGATAAGGTCTCGATTTTCAACATTATAGTAAATGAATTATCAAGAAATTTATACAATATAGCCAAATTCAATAATTCACAGTAATTCAGAAAATGAAAATAATTACTTGTGATTTTGAGAGACATTCTATGATCTTTTCTAAAATTCCCTAGAAGATTTGCCCTCCTAATATGATTATCAAAGTTAAGTGGAATAAGGTTTTGTTAGTTACTGGTTTGACTTTTCTATATCTTGCCTCCAATTCAGATGAGCATCTACCTTTAGGTGTCTTCAACTGTTTGAACAGGGTAAGGCCATTTAATCATACTCATTTGCCCTAGAAATTCCTAATATTCCTTTATAACTTTAGATATGTCAACTGTGGTATCTTACATGTATTTGATGCAAAGATAATTTACAAAGCTGTGCCAGAGTCAACCCTGAACTTGGCCTCCTGACAATAATTTAATACAATATGTTATTAATTGTATGTTTTGTGCTGATCTTAGCCTGTTAATAATAACCAATGTTGTATTTGGACTGGCCCTTAATGTTCTTATTATGATTGCAAAATGCCCTTCAGCAATAACCATCAGGAAATTGAAGAAATAAAGGTTAATTAATTATTTTTTGTTGTTGTTTAGTCACTCAGTTGTGTCCGACTCTTTGCAATCCCATGGACTGCAGCACACCAGGCTTCCCTGTCCTTCACCATCTCCCAGAGTTTTCTCAAACTCAAATCCATTGAGTCGGTGATGCCATTCAACCATCTCGTCCTCTGTTGTCCCCTCTCCTCCTGCCTACAATCTTCCCCAGCATCAGGGCCTTTTTCAATGAGTCAGTTCTTCACATCAGGTGGCCAAAATATTGGAGTTTCAGCTTCAGCATCAGTCCTTCCAATGAATATTCAGGGTTGATTTCCTTTAGGATTGATTGGTTTGATTTCCTTGCAGTCCAAAGGACTTTCAAGAGTCTCCTCCAACATCACAGTTTAAAAGCATCAATTCTTTGGCACTCAGCCTTCTTTATGGTCTAACTCTCACATCCATACATGACTACTGGAAAAACCATAGCTTTGACTATAATTATAGGATTTGGAAATTACACTGCATATCTGGGACCACACAGAGAGGTCACAGGTAGAGAGAGTGCATGGGCCTAAGGTTCTGCTTTTTATTGGGATTGAGTGTGTGATCCTAGGATAGTGAGAGCTAACTGTTTATTGGTGAATTCAAAACATAAGAGCAGGAATTTAAAGCATGGGAAGAGGAGGAAAAAAATAAAAAGCAAGTAGTCAAAATAGTCAGTTATGGAAATCAACCAAGATCTTCTGATCTTTATCTAGTTTTGTGACTGGCTGTGTGTATTTGGGCTTCTCTGGTAGCTCAGTTGTTAAAGAATCTGCCTGCAATGCAGGAGACCCCGGTTTGATTCCTGGATCAGAAAGATCCACTGGGGAAGGGATAAGCTATCCACCTCTGTATTCTTGGGCTTCTCTTGTGGCTCAGCTGATAAAGAATCTGCCTGCAATGTGGAAGGCTGGGTTTGATCCCTGGGTTGGGAAGATCTGATGGAGAAGGGAAAGGCTACCCACTCCAGTATTCTGGCCTGGAGAATTCCATGGATTATATGTGTGTTTATTTGAGATGATCATTTTTGAAGTAGATGCCTCAGCAATCAAAGCTTAAGTCAGGCACTTGCATTACAAAATAGAAAAGCAAAATCCAACTGTCATGGCTTACACTATATTGTATCACATTGTCTTTTCAGAGTTAAAAGGCATAAGATAATACTCTAAACATGTTCATACCTTATAAGCTTATCTTAATGTATAGCGTCCCATGGGGCCATGCCAGGTATGTCCAATATTGGAAGTGGACTCTGTGGGGAGTAGGATATGGGTCTTGGGCAGTTAGAAGTGAAGGTCATAGTACCGAGGAAATATTGTGGATGTAGAAGAGGATTAGGGGCTGAAGATAGTAATGTAGCAAGTAGCATCTAGTGAGACAAAATCTGGATATAATTCCTTGGGAGCTGACTGTGTTTGAAGTATTTAAAATACTTTACATTGGGAGAATTTGGAAGAAGGTATACTTTGATGTTTGGGGTAGCTGTAACTGGTATGAGGGTTGTGTTCTTGAGAGGAAAGCATAAAGCTGGCATGGCTATGAGAACTCTGTTGAAGAGAGTGTTCCACTAGGGTCAAAGCCTTTCAGACTTACTGTTGCCATTTCCTATGTCTCCATCCTGCTTGATATCTGAGGGCACTGTCTTTATATGGCTTTTAAGGAAATCCTCATAACCTATAATTTCATCATAGCAATAGCATGATGAAATCCCTCAAGTATGTCATGGGAATGGGCCCAGAAATCTTTTTTTTTTTTCATAATTATAGTATACATTTATTTATTTATTTTTCCATTTATTTTTATTAGTTGGAGGCTAATTACTTAGAAATGTTTTTTTTAAATTCTGCTACTGAGAGAGCCAGACCATGGCTGACAGAAACTACAGAAGTGAATGACTTCATCTTTCTTCTTTCCCCAAGCACTAATTTCACCAAAGGTCTCCGCTCACTGTTTACTATCTTTGACCTGTCTGTGGCATTTGATCTGGGGACCAGATCCTTTCTGAATCCTTCTTCCCTTACTGTTGTATCAGCACTCTTCTTGGATTCTTTTTGTTTCCCTCTGACCACTCCACCTCTGTCTCTTTGTTGTTCTTCCTTCTCTGCTTGCTCCTAAAATGTTGGTGTTCCTAAAGGTTTTGTCCTTTGTCTTTCTTCTCAGTTTAGACTTTCTGGGCAATCTTGCTTGCTCCAATGACTTCAATCATCTTTTTATATGTTGATGATTCCCCAACTGTAAGTAGACCTTTGGTCTCTCTCCCAAGCTTTGTATCTTTTATTTTTTCTCCACAGAAATTTTGATGCCATGGGCATTTTGACTTAAGTTCCCTTAAAGCATCCCTATTTCTATCTATGTAGAGCCTCCTGAATTCTGGATATCTTGACCCAGATGACCTACACCTACTCCAAATGCAAATACACTTACAATAATAAAAAAAAATTCCTGAAGAATTCCCCATCTTTAAAAATAGTACTGCTGTCTGCCATTATCTGCCCAACTTTAAAATCAGAGAGCTGAGAATTATCCATTTCCCCACCTGTCTCCATTCTTCAATTTATTCAGTTTGTTATTAAGCCTTACTGAGTTCATTTTCTGAATGTGTCTGAGTTGTAGTTTTCCTTTCCATTCTGTCATCTTGGGTCAGGCCCGTGTCATCATCCCCCTAAGATGAATGCAGTAGACCTCTGACCAGTCTGTTTCTACTCTTGCCTCTTTACTGTATCTTCACTACCACCAACATGATCTGTCCGAAGTAAAAAGTCTTCTTATTTCCCAATTAAACATTTTCAGTGGTTCTCTGCTATCCATAGGATAAAGTTAAAGCTCCTTCACTGTAACAGAAGATTATCTTATAGACAGCTCCAAACTAAAGGGGGCGATCCCTACTCTGTTCTGCCTCCAGCTATTGCCATGTAGGGATATATGGACCCAGTTGTTGCTAGATCTTCAAATTTCTCCTGAGAAACCATAATTCAGATTTTTATGCAAAATCTCCCAATTTTTAAATGTTACCTCAATTGAAAAACAACAGTAACACTGTTCAGGTCAATTAAAATACTTCTGTTGAATGGATATGGGCCAAGGCTTGCTTATTGTGACCTCTGAATAGATCCATAAGGACACTGGATTGTCGGGGCAGGGAAAGGATTAATGGGTATGAGGGAGAGGAAATAGTAGGGGAGAATGGGCTAACTCTGAGGAGTGGCTTCCTGGAAAGGAGATAAATTTGGGGAGAGGCTTTCCTCTAACTCCTGAAGTTCTGTACTATGTTGGCACTAGAGGTGAAAACTAGAGGTGAAATGCTCTGGTGCTGACCACAACTCATGTGGGATCTGACTGTATGGATACCAGTAGAGGTTAAGTACTGAATTTTGTGGCTTTTCCACTGTGTAAGATCCTGCTAGCCCAGAGGAGGAGAAAGTATTAAGATGGACTTTGTTGCTTGGGTACTCAGAACAGTTTATTTACAAAAATAAGGTGTGACATTTCTTGCACCTTCAGTTTTGAGAAGCAGTTCATATCTGTCAGATACCACATAGGTATCTGTTGAAATTTTAGCCAGAAGTGTTTAAATAATGACAATTTTAGTATTAAACTGAACCAGTTATTATTGGAAGGGAAAAATCTGCTAAGGAACAATAAAAATAATGTAAAGAGATTTGGGGATACTCTTTATCATTGTTTCTCTAAATGGCATAAATAAGCTGTTGGGTCCATTGCACCCTTAAAGGATGGATTACATTTTCATTTTCCATTAATGCCAGCGACTCTGGTATATATTCCCAGCCTGCTGCATCATATCAGTATCTATAGAGAGCCCACATCTCCTAGGGTACAAAGAAAATGCATTCTTTATTAAGAGGGAATTTGGGGACACAGAGTCACTTCTAATGAGTCACTGTTCTTGAAAGGAGCATTTTGACTCAGGCATAAATAAAACAACTAACTTAGCTGTGATTTCCTGCTGATTCAGAAGCCACAGCAGATTGGTCTTCCTACTTCTAAGAGAGGAGCATTAATGGGCCAGAGCCTCAGGGAAGACAGAAATGATATTCTGTCTGACATTGTTTTCTCTTCTAGCCTTACATGTTCAGGGAAATGAAGAGGAGCACAAAAGACAAAGATATGCCAGTCCCCAGTACCATTTTTTCATTCTCTTTTTTGTCTCAGTACACCAGAGCTCTGTTAATTCTCTTGTGTTACTGCTCTCAAATGAAAAACATGAGTGTAAATTTGCATAATTCTTTCCTAGGATAGGTAATTTTAAGAATCAAAGATGTTAATAATTCTTTCATCTTGAAGGTATGGCTACTCTCTGACTTTATCTGCCCTTCAACTTATTTCAGACACTTTGAGTTTGCAGCTCGATAAACTTGAGCATCATTTGGTCAGTTCTGCTTTATTGGTGCCCGGATTATTCAAATATCTTCACTTGTTATTCTCTCCTTTATCTAAAGTCAAGACCAAAAATTTGATATAGCAAAGGTCTTAATAAATGTTTGCTAAATAAAAGTTGGTCAGTTTAAATTCTTGTTAGGTGATCTGGGAAAAAGATTTTGGGATTCGGTGGCAGTAGGTTTGGGTAGAGAAGGAATTGATATGACAGGCTGTAATTATATTTATCACTATTAGCAGGTTTACATCACCTAAGCCACTCCTGTTCTGTGATATACCAAATAAACAAAAGTTGGCCCTTTATAGTCTGATTTTACAACCAAAGCCTTCTCTATTATACACTTATGAACCATCTTAGTAGTTTTTAATAAGGTAGCATGTATAAACATTGGAATAATAAAGATTTGGTAACAGATAAACAATAGTGTGTAAAACAATCAGAAAGACTTAAGTCCTTACTTCTCAACTTGGGAGATTTTACCAAGGCTTTGCCTACTGAGCTTTTCACCTTTGCTGGAGAAATTTTGGTGGTTGAATACTTCATTTTAGGCTTCATTTTTCAGGCTTCTGTTGAATTAAAATATAATGTTAGGTCAATTGTCTCAACTTGAAAACAAACAGAAACAACTGTGGCTAACTCAATATAAAATTGATAACAAAGCGACATAGAAAAAGAATTCAGTAAAATTTGAATATAGTATTCTGAATATGTATATGTACACACACACACACACACACACACACACACACACTAGGACTATTGTCAGAGGGTGAAAAGAATTCCAGTCTTCACTTTGTGGGCTTGTTGTTAGTGGAAATATTGGTTTGGAAATTCTGAGACTGTTTTTTGCTATACTATGGAATAGAACAAATGTATTGGTGTTATAGGATTTTCACTGCAGGGAAAAGGAGATATAAATATAAAATAAAAGTAGAAAACAAATCCCTGTAGTGTTAAATTTGAATTATCAGTATCAATGTGCCTGTATCTTAGTTTCTAACTGCTTTTTCCGCTGAAGGGAACCAGGATTCTAGATCTGGGTTGGGAAATAAAAGTGAACGTTGATTATCTCGTTGTGCCAGAAAGCAGTGAATCATTCAAAAACTAGTGAGATTGTGCCGAAAGGACATAAGAATCCCCTTGAAGGGTCTCCTACTGCACAAATTTGGCATAGTTTGAGCATCAGAAAAAATGATGGTAATTGACTCTAAAGCATTTTATTAAAAAAACAAACAAACAAACAACATTGCAAGTCCATGGCATTTCTTAAGAATGAATAAGTTTTATTCATTATGGAAAGAATGATAGAATTAGATAAATCACCATTTTTCAGTCCCCAATTTCATATTTGATTCAGGCAAGGATCATCAATGATGCTCTTCCTTAATTATCAAGCTGGGTCATTGTACCACTTTGAAGGAATATGGAATTGTCTTATAAATTGCCTAGGTCAGGAAGATTCTTTGGAGAAGGGAATGGCTACTCACTCCAGTATTCTTCCACAGAGAATTCCATGGACAAAGGAGCCTAGTGGGCTACAGTCCGTGGGATCGCAAAGAGTCAGACGTGACTGTGTGACTAACGTTTTCACTTTCACTTTCATGTATTCTTTCAGTAGGGTATTGCAACCAGGCTTCATGGTCAAGGTAAGGCACTGTTGCTGTGGTTTGTGGAGGGAGCAAGATTGATTCTCCAGTCTTAAATTTTCTCTATTATTGCCTGAAATTCTATAATAGTTGATACTTCTTTTAGTAAGCATTGCTCTCTTTATGCTAGATTTTTAAAAAATTGAATCCAAATTATCCCAAGAGTAGTTACTATTTACATCTCTTATAAACTTCATTAGGACCAGCTCTTCCAGCAGAGTAAAGGAGGAACATTGAATTCCTGGTTAGAAGACTCATTGGAAAATAAACTTCCTGCACCTTAATTTTTGTCCCTTGCCAAGTCCCCAGTAGGCCGAAATTCCAAATTTTCTTTTATAAATGGAACTAGAATCTTACACAAAGGCATTCTGTTTACACACCGTCTCATGAGCAAAATCCTTCAATGATAGCGTAATTGAGATACCCTATTCTGCCCCTAGAAATGAATGTATCTTCCAGGGAGTAAATATTATCCTCGCAGAGCATGAGGGGCTCACATCAATCCTTATCTTCTTCCTCTGATTCTACTACCTTTATTGATCAACTACAGTTGAACATAAGAAGCAGAGAAACTTAGACATCATTTACTGAGCACCCCACCCCCCCCCCCCCACCTCTGTAGATGAGTAGGCTAGGACTGAAAGGTTAAGTGCCTCGCCCAGGTTCACAGACGCAGAACCAGGAATAGAATCTAGTCTCCTGATTTTCATCTTTATGCCAGAGCTTCCTGACCCTGGCTATTCTCTTCTCCCTACAAATGTAGAAAGAAGGTAAGCAGAAATGAGAATTCAGATTCAAATGCTCAAGCAATTGTCCAAATTCTTTTAAATAATAAATTTCAGAATATGATATTTAATTTGTAACCATAATGTGGGATAGTGCATTTCAGTAGCTTTATTGTGTTAAATTTTAAATTGTACAGAAAATAGTTCAAATAGTACCCTCACACAGTAGGTGTTCAGGTAATATTTTACTGATAACATGAAGATTACATTGCTGAATTTGTTTTTCCCTTTTATCCAAGAATCCTATGTCCTATAAAAAAAAATCTCTTGGATAGCCATTTTTAATAGTTGTATTTTCAAATAAATCTAGGAAATATTTCAATCTATATTCCACTTCTTGGAAAGTCAGAATTCATATTAGCATAGTAAAGGTGCTGACATTCCCTCAGTGTAGAATTGTGGGTACCTTTGTTTAACAAATTATTTTCAGTGATTATTTGATCTCAAATAATCTCAACTCACTCTGTTAACATTCCCATGGTTAGTTTGAGAGAACACACTTGGAGGAACTCTGTTCTAAACCAATATTGGCCTGTGGATTCATGTAAGATAGATAAAAAACTGAAATATAACATTTAAAATGGAGTCATTGACACAGAAAAGGTCAACTGCTTTTTAAGGAGCATGTGATAAGTCAAAAGCAGGAAATATTTTCTAATCTTTGTCTGAAAAACAAAACATTTTCTTTAAACGACCTACAAATCTTTTACCTTAAAAAATACAATCACTCTTTTAAATTTTTTCTTTAGGCTTAAAATTTACTGTTTATTCTCTTATTTTAAAATCAGGAATATTAGAGTATGGCATAAACATTACTGGTTCTTTTGAGCTGCTCTTTCCAATAATATATGGCAAATATTCTCACATATTGGTTATGATACCCACCTAAGTTATAAATGTAAAGGGCTGGTCTCAAATGATGAGGCTTCCTGTTGTCCACACTTGGTAGTAGTTGATGCAGTTATATTCCAGCTCTACTTATATATACACACTCTTGGATTAAGAAACGTTGGGTGACAGCATTAGATGAATGAGGCAATCCTAGTAGAGCCAGTTGAATGGGCTAGAATGGGTAGGAATGCATTCTCATTCCTGTCAGGAGACATTCAACTTTAAGGGATCCAATATGCTATTCTCTTCTTTTGTGTGCCGTTTCTCAAGGACTTTCTCTTCCTTTTCAGTTCCTGGGAAACAGGAATGAGCAGAGCTGCACGCAGTTCTCAGGACTGAGATCATGAGAAAGAGCACCTTCTTGGATTGTTCTCAGTGACTCCCTTCAGTGACCTTTTACTTCAGTTCAGTTCAGTTCAGTCGCTCAGTCGTGTCTGACTCTTTGCAACCCCATGAATCACAGCACCCCAGGCCTCCTGTCCACCACCAACACCCAGAGCTTACTCAAACTCATGCCGATCGAGTCAGTGATGCCATCCAGCCATCTCATCCTCTGTCACCCCCTTCTCCTCCTGCCCCCAATTCCCTCCCAGCATCAGGGACTTTTCCAATGAGTCAACTCTTCCCATGAGGTGGCCAAAGTATTGCAGTTTCAGCTTCAGCATCAGTCCTTCCAATGAACACCCAGGACTGATCTCCTTTAGGATGGACTGGTTGGATCTCCTCGCAGTCCAAGGGACTCTCAACAGTCTTCTCCAAACACCACACTTCAAAAGCATCAATTTTTCAGTGCTCAGCTTTCTTCACAGTCCAACTCTCACATCCATACATGACCACTGGAAAAACCATAGCCTTGACTAGATGGACCTTTGTTGGCAATGTAATGTCTCTGCCTTTTAATATGCTATCTAGATTGGTCATAACTTTCCTCCCAAGGAGTAAGTGTCTTTTAATTTCATGGCTGCAATCACCATCCGCAGTGATTTTGGAGTCCCCCAAAATAAAGTCAGCCACTGTTTCCACTGTATCCCCATCTATTTGCCATGAAGCGATGGAACCAGATGACATGATCTTAGTTTTCTGAATGTTGATCTTTAAGCCAACTTTTTCACTTTCCTTTTTCACTTTCATCAAGATGCTTTTTAGTTCTTCTTCACTTTCTGCCATAAGGGTGGTGTCATCTGCATATCCGAGGTTATTGATATTTCTCCCAGTAATCTTGATTCCAGCTTGTGCTTCATCCAGCCCAGCATTTCTCATGATGTACTCTGCATATAAGTTAAATAAGCACGGTGACAATATATAGCCTTGACATACTCCTTTTCCTATTTGGAACCAGTGTGTTGTTCCATGTCCAGTTCTAACTGTTGCTTCCTGACCTGCATACTGGTTTCTCAAGAGGCAGGTCAGGTGGTCTGGTATTCCCATCTCTTTATGAATTTTCCACAGTTTATTGTGATCCACACAGTCGAAGGCTTTGGCATAGTTAATAAAGCAGAAGTAGAAGTTTTTCTGGAACTCTCTTGCTTTTTTGATGATCCATCAGATGTTGGCAATTTGATCTCTGGTTCCTCTGCCTTTTCTAAAACCAGCTTGAACATCTGGAAGTTCATGGTTCATGCATTGCTGAAGCCTGGCTTGGAGAACTTTAAGCATTACTTTACTAGCGTATGAGATGAATGCAATTGTGCAGTGGTTTGAGCATTCTTTGGGATTGCCTTTCTTTGGAATTGGAATGAAAACTGACCTTTTCCAGTCCTGTGGCCACTGCTGAGTTTTCCAAATTTGCTGGCACATTGAGTGCAACACCTTCACAGCATCATCTTTCAGGATTTGAAATAGCTCAACTGGAATTCCATCACATCCACTAGCTTTGTTTGTAGTGATACTTCCCTAAGGCCCACTTGACTTCACATTCCAGGATGTCTGGCTCTAGGTGAGTGATCACATCATCGTGATTATCTGGTCATGAAGATCTTTTTTGTACAGTTCTTCTGTGTATTCTTGCCACCTCTTCTTAATGTCTTCTGCTTCTGTTAGGTCCATACCATTTCTGTCCTTTATCAAGCCCATCTTTGCATGGAATGTTCCCTTGGTATCTCTAATTTTCTTGAAGAGATCTCTAGTCTTTCCCATTCTGTTGTTTTCCTCTATTTCTTTGCATTGATCACTGAGGAAGGCTTTCTTATCTCTCCTGGCTATTCTTTGGAACTCTTCATTCAAATGGGAGTAT